GCCAGACAGCTCAGCGGACTAAAGTGCGTGCTTTAGGCAGAGCGCAGCAGCTGGGGTTTGATCCTGGCCCGCTGTGCTGGCCCCGCCCCCGGGGTGCGCTGAGATGGTGATTGACACTGGGTGTGGTGGCACATGCCTGTAATCCCAGCACTTGGGAGGCTGACAACAGGAGAACCACTATGAGTCTGATCTATGTAGTGAGACCCTGTAGACTCTGTACTAAATACATAGAAAAAGATAGAAATGTACATAGATAATCTTAACACCAGAGACTATATTCTGAATATATCTTTGGATTCTCATGTGTCATTTTGTATAGAATTAGACAAACTTTAAAAATCCCTGCAAATGCAAAAACTCTAAAGGACACTAAGTCGTAAAGGAAGTTGGACAGCTCAAACTTAGTCTAGACTTCATTTCTGTTTCTTCCTATCAGCAGGATCTGGTTAAACTGCTTGATCCCTCTTCCCCAGATGCAGTCTGGCTGTGTCTGAGCGCACGCTGAGGGCGCCCGTGCGGGAGCCCACCTGTTATCATCTGCTGGGCGTCATAGGGCTCCATGTAGCCGTCGTTCTCCCCAACTCTCTCTGCATCCCTCTGACCCTTTGTTCGCTTGGCATCGTAAGGGTCAGCATAGTCTTCTAAAATGATGACCTGTCAAAGAGCAAGAGAGGATGGTGAGTGCTGGTGACTGCTCTCTACCCAAAGGCACTGAAGTCTGCACATCTGGACAGAGCTAGTGTTTCTAATCAGCTCCTGACAGCTTCTGTGGACAAACCTTTTTTTTTTAGAATAACTGATTTGTAACAATTCATTTACACTTTTACATAACCACAATTTTTTTTTCTACTTTCTTTTCTCTCCCCAAGTAATAAACACTTGTGGGTTAGAGGCTGCCAGGGGTGGGCGGTGGGAAGAGGAAGTTGTCTGTGGCTTTAGTGCATAACAGATGAACTGGTCTACCACACACCCCTGGCTCGGTTAAGCTCCAATTGGCCGGGCAATGGAGTCCCAGTGAGTCACTCTGTCACCTCCCAGCCCTGGCTAAGCACTGTAGGGCATCCAAAGGAACTGAAGACCTGCTTCCCGCCTTCAAGGAATTTATGACATCTCAAGGGCACAAGCTACATAAGGAACAAAAAGGTTAGTACAGCACAGTATTATGGAGGAACTTGTATGTTCAGTAATTCATAGGCAAACTGATTCCCTTAGGTTACAGATCAGACAGAAGCTTGTTTCTGGGGATTTAACCCAGGGTTGTGCACTGAACTATATCTTCAGACTTAAAAACTTTTTTTTTTTTTTTTGAGATAGTCTCACTAAGTCACTAAATTGCCCAGACTGGGCTTGAACTTGTGATCTTCCTGACTCAGCCTCCCAGAGTCCTGGGATCAGTTAGTTATTCACCACCATACCCAGCTCAGTTTGGATGGCATTTGTGTCTAAGATCATCTACCTTTCCAAAGAAGATACACAATGGCGCTGTTCACCAAGGACAGAGAACCCTTCTCAGGGAGGAAGTTTAGGGACCTGCACCACAATGTGATACAGTGTTCTTCGAGAAAAGTTCATGAAAACGGACCTTCAGACTGCATGAAAGTCCTCTGCTCCAGAGGAGAAGGCCTAAGAGAACTCAAGTCATCTGCAGGGGATGCCCCTGAAAGCACCTACGGTAGAGGTCAGCGACGACTGTGTGATCCCTCCTTGGCTAGCAATCGTGTACTGCAGCTTCAGCTCTCGTCCTCAGCTCTACAATGGGCTGATCTAGTCCAACAGTCAGGTCGACCACCGAGTCACATATGAGGTGGTTCACACCTGCTCTCCCACGGCTCTCGGCTCCTTGCCTAGCAGAGGGCAGGCACACTGGGAATGCATGTGGGAAGAAGTGAATGGAGCTGTGAACACAAGAGCCCCGTACAGAGGATACAGGCTACTGACGGTCCAGGCAGGCAGCACACTGGAGGTGAGGTGAGGAGAAAAGAATTGACAAGAAGCAAGTACCTGGGCTGGAGTCTGAAATCTCATCTGAGCTGTACCTCTCCCTCGTTCACACAGGACAGAAACGAACCAGACCAAATTGCCCCAACCTTGTAAGGATGGCGAGCCCTTGTCCACATCCTCACTCCTTTCCTTACTGTCCCACATTGGACAGAACCAGGCTCTCCAGTGAGTCAGAAACAGGAAGAACCTTCTCTCCTGGCCTGGCGTTTTTGTGTGGCCCTCAGCAGCCTCCACATCCCTCAGTGCCCCATGCCCCTTAAGCCTAAGTGGCTGCTACATAGCAAATGACCTTGGGATGGGGGAGGTCACTCATCTTGGGGGACTGCTGAAGCTTTTAGGTCTTCACCAGGTGGAAGTGCAGAGCAGAAGGACCATCTGAGCCATTGGAGAAGGAGGTGACCAACCTCCTTACTGAAGCTCTCAAACCCATACTTACATGTTAGAGGGTTCCCATTCACCCTGTCAAGAAAGACAAGCCACTCAGAAATCTAGCTTTGCCAATCTCCTGGCTGGCAGGGTCAAAATTAAAGCCTTACTGACAAGGAGTTATATTTACTGAAGTAGGAAGTTCTTTAAAACTCTTTTAAACTGCTAACAAAACCAAACAGATTTACTAAGTACATTTCTGCAAAGTTCTCCATCCCAGGGTGAGAATTTTTTCAAGTTAAGGCCTGGATTTCCACCCCCCACCCCCCCCAACCGGGGATTGAACTTAGGCCCTTGCGCTTGCCAGGGAAGCGCTTATTCCACTGAGCCATCTCCCCAGCCCCGTAGGCTTTGATTTTCAAGGGTCGCCTGGGAGTACCACCAAGGGGACACACCTTCCCTTAAGTTTGAAGCAGCCTGGAGTTTAGCAGATACTTGCTGTTCGCTGGCCCACAGAGGTGGCCTCAGGAGGATGGGTTCTTACCGTGTCCTGCTGCTTCGCGATCTTGCCCTTGTCCGGCTCCGGGCCCAGGGAGGAAGGGGAAGAGGATGGGGTGGAACAGCTGCTGCTACTGCTGCTACTGCTGCTGCTACTGCTGCTGCTGCCGCCGCCGCCGTTGCCCGGATAGCTGCTCTTGCCCGTCTTCTCCTGGGTGTCCACTTTGATGAGCCTGCTGATGTAGGTGCTGCATCCGGAGCTCTTGGCCGCGCCCCGATGAGGCTCCTCCTCGGTGGTGCGCGAGTTCTTGCGGCCCTTGCCGGCCGCGGCCTGGATCAGGCCCTGCAGGCTGTCCCTGGACAGCCGGCTGTCCTTGGGGGGAGCGCTGCTGGCCCGGGCACCCAACTCGGCTGCCGAGTTCTTGCGGCCCTTGCCCGGGATGGGCCCCGCACCAGCCGCCTCGGGGCTCTTGCGCAGCTTGCCCGCGCTCGCACCGGACTTTAGGGTGAGCGGGAACTCCTTGAACCACTTGGCTGCCATGGGGGGCACCCGGCCCGGACCCCGCGAGGCGCCAGGCGTCGGCGGCCACTGCATTCCCCGAGCCGTGGCCCACTCCGGGCAGGGTGGGGCCCCTGCGGCCCGGGGCGCTGCTCCCAGACGGCGACGCGCAGGACGCGCTGGACCCGCCCGGCCTCGGCTTGGCACCGCGGCTCTCCTGCCTCGTCCTCCCGCGGAGGGGGAGGCCGAGCCCGCGGAACCCCTCGCAATCCCCCGCAGTCCTGTCCACGCTCCTGGGGACAAGCGGGGGCGCAGCGGAGGCGGCAGGAGTGTCCCCGGCGGGCGCCGCGACGGACAGACTGTGGCCGCGCCCCTCCTCGCCCCTCCCTGCGCTGGCGCCTCCCCGCCCGTCCAGTCCCAGGCCAAGTCCAGCCGCGTTCGCGGAGGGCGGCGGCTGCACGTGCCACGCCGCGACCGAGGGCACAGCCACCCGCGGGCGAAGGGACTGTTCCGCACCTGCCCGCGCCTCCCGCTCGCCAGCTCCCCGCGGCGCCGGGGGTGAGGGAGAGTCGCCTGTGCGGTCCGGACGCGGGACCCGCGGTTCCCACCCAGCTGAGGTTCCTCGCGTCGCCCGGGCTCCGAGACCCGGCCCGAGGAGGGGCGCCGCCTGCTGGATCTGGGACCCGGCGCCCGGCGACAGGTGGCGGGTGAGGGCGTCCGGAGGCCATCGTAGGACTCGCGCCCAGTTGCCGCTCCTCTCCGGGCTGGAAGGGCAGGAGTCGCCTGGGGGTCTGGGCGGTGGCGTCTGAGCCTGTGCTCTTCACGTGAAAGGACCCGCTCCTCCCCAGGAAGAGTTTAGAATGTTTTTAACCCGGGAAGGGAGGGTTGAAATTTACCTTATAAAATTGAAATCCTTTCATTTCGAAAAACTGTGCCGCAGAGTGTCGCCCATCAGGCTGTAAACTCTCCAGTTGGAGCCGAGCAAGCGAAGAGGGCCGCTCCTCTTGGGCTGCATCCTACATCGCGGGTGCGGCTGGTGGGGATGGAGGTGCAAGAAGCTCTCGCTCACGCGGACCTCCCTTGGAAATGCGGATTAGCTTAAAAAAAACCAAAACACAACTCCCTCAGTGAGATATCAATGCACACTACAAAATTGAGCTGTTTTAAGTGCACTTAAATGAGCTTTTAATGCATTTAGTAGCCTTACAACAAGCACCATGTTCTCAGTTTAGAACCTTTTCTTCATGTTGGAGAGGAACTTGACATTTATTAGCAGCCACTCCTGGGCTCCCTCTTGCTCTGGCCATAGTGGTTACTAATCAATACTTAGACAATACCATTTTATTTTTCTAAGTTTCATGGTTTTGGAGTCAACAGTCTGTGATCTGTATCTGGCTTCTTTCCCTAGTTTCCCTTTTGAGATTCACCCTTGTTGCAGGTGTCAGCACCTTATTCCTTTTTTATTGCTCAGTAATATTTCATTGTACAGATAGA